GGGGGGGAAAAATTGTTGTCTCAACCCCCCCCCAAAAAAAAAAAAAAAAGTAATTTACTGTGAAGCACTGGCTGAAAATCATTTTCTGAACGGCTGCACAATTTTAATCAGAGGGCCATACCGTATCCAATCAAGGGAGGCTTTGTGTTGGGGAGGGGGGATGCCGCAAGGGGGGAGTTTCTCGTGTGGCGTTCCCAAAGGGCCCGTAAATCCAAGCTCTGCTTCAGGACGGCAGGATGTCTTGGGCTTCACGTTCTGCCCAAACCTAATTTGCACTGGAATTACACGGGCATTACTAATGTATACAGCAACTCAAATTGATTAGCTGGCTATTAGTAAGAGCAATGTGCTCACTTGGTAACCGCAGTTTCCTTTGGAGCAGGAGTGCAAAGAAGGGGCTAGACCAAAGGGAGACTTGCCTCATTTGAAAGAAGCTCATGGTAATAGAGGGCCACGTGCTGAGCAGGCGAGACAAAGGGATGCTCAAGAGGAGCTGCCAGAACCTGGGTGCCCTCGTGCACGAGCCCAAATGGTCCGTAGCTCCCCTGGTGCCAACGGTTGACTGGAAAGGCCCAAATCTGCTCTTGTTGAAACTTTTGCTGCCAACAGCAGTGACAGCAGGATTGAACCCAGAATCATATTAATGCCTTCCTTACCATAAGGAGACAAGGTTCTTTGGGTGAATCTGATATCTTTTATTAGACCAACTTAAATACTTGGAAAACAATTATTAAGCAAGCTCGTTGCCATGTTTGGCTTTTCTTTATAGAAACAAAGTAGTCACTGATGACTTTTGTGAGGGAGCTCGTCCAGTCAGGGTATGTGCTGGGTATATTTAGGGCAGTCTTATTAGATCAGGCCCTCACACAACCTGGGCATGAACCTGCCTAATTTCTGGCTCCCCATCAGCCTTAAATGGGAGCTGGGCACCATGTGGCCCAGCCTTGCCCAGAAACAGAACTGCTCGTGTGTGCAAATGCAGAGGCAGGTCCCAGTGAGCTGAGATGGTTGCAGAGCTGGTGAAGTGTCTGCTGCCTGGGTCTACCAGGAGCACTGCCTCACAGGCTTTCGACACTGTCTCTCACCCCGTTCTCATTAGGAAACTGGAGGACTGTGGCGTAGACACCCACACAGTCCAATGGGTCGCCAACTGGCTAGAGAGCCGCACCCAGAGGGTGGTAGTGGATGGGTCCTTCTCGGCCTGGAAGGACGTGGGCAGTGGGGTCCCGCAGGGCTCGGTCCTCGGGCCCGCCCTGTTCAACATCTTCATCAGTGATTTGGATGAGGGGGTGCAAAGCACCCTGTTCAAATTTGCTGATGACACCAAGATGTGGGGGGATGTGGGCACAATAGAAGGGAGCAACAGGCTACAGTCGGACCTTGACAGGTTACAAGGATGGGCGGAGGAGAACAGGATGGGGTTCAACACAGACAAGCGCAAGGTGATGCACCTGGGGAGGAACAACCGGCACCATACCTACAGGCCGGGGAACTCCCCTCTTGTCAGCACGGAGGTGGAAAAGGATCTTGGAGTCATTATTGACTCCAAGATGAACATGGCTCGGCAGTGTGGGGAGGCGGCTAGGAAAGCCAACTGTACCTTGTCGTGCATTCACAGACGCATTTCAAGCAGGACCAAGGAGGTGATCCTCCCCCTCTATGCGGCACTGGTCAGGCCGCAGCTGGA